AAAAAAAAAAAGAAATTGTAGTATGTTTGTATTTGGAAAGAAAGTAGACTTTGGGCCTTTTCTTCTAATGCACGAGGTAACTATTAGTTAAGGGTAATTCACATTAGTTGCTTAACAATCCCTGAATCTCAGTGGTTTAATATATATAATAGGAATTAATTTTTGCTCATGTCTGTTAGGCAGCTCTCTCATATCCCACCATGTCACTCATGTAATGTCAAGAGATATATTATCCTTCCATTGTGTGGTTGTACCATCTCAGAACCCTTCATTTCCAGCTACAGAGATGGGGAAATGTGAACTAAGGAGTGTGAGAGATTTTAGAGGCCAAGCCTGGAARTGGTATGCCTACATCACTTTGTCAACATCCAGTTGGTCCAAACTAGCCATATTCCCTGTCCTAATTGCTGGGTGGGCTAAAAAATGCATTGTACTTACTCATTTATTTATTTTTTGTGTGCCCTGGAAGAGAACCAGTATTGATGAGCATCTTGCTATTCTCTCCCATGATGGTCTGGTTCCTTAAACTTGACTCTAACCTGGGTATCTCTTCTCTTTCCACTGTAGGTAGTATACCTGGCCAGTGAAACCTTCAACTATAGTGCCATTGACCGAGTGAAGTCCAGGGGCAAGCGACTTGCGCTACAGAAAGTGCCAAAAGTTGGACAGCGGTTTAACCGCATTGGGCTACCACCAAAGGTATAGATTACACTTGTTTGGCATTTCAAGGAAATGAAGATATGAGGATCTTGGAAATCTCCCTGTCTCTGATGTGAACACCACAGGAGCTTAGTGGGTCCCTGCATACCCTTAGAGTCTTTGGACTTGGGCTGCAGGGACATGATTTTGTTCCTTCCTCTTGGTTGCAGGTTGGTTCATTCCAGCTCTTTGTTGAAGGCTACAAAGATGCAGACTACTGGCTGCGGCGTTTTGAAGCAGAACCTCTCCCTGAGAACACTAACCGGCAACTACTGCTGCAGTTTGAGCGCTTAGTGGTGCTGGATTACATTATCCGCAACACTGGTGAGCAGCTGTGGGGAAGGCCTGGTGATGTACAGGGCTTGGGAGTCACAGTGCCTTGTCAGGATGAACTTGACCCTATGTTAGAAGGGTCATATGCATTTAGAGAGGATCTAAGAGAATACTTTTCCAAATTAAGCTTTGTGCAGACAAAGCATGTAGTTTTTAGAAATGGTAAGGCCTGGAGCCATTTTATCCTTGCCTCTTTCCAGGTGCCAGACAGAAATACCTGGCTCTTCCAAAACGCTGAAGAGCACGCTTATCCTTTATCCCAATTCATTCTTAGAGCATCAAGATATTACCACAGGACRCTTTTGTCTTTCCTTTTCTTTTTGGTCCTAGGGATTGAACCCATGGGCACTTTACCACGGAGCCATATCCACAGTCCTTTTTATTTTTCATTTTGAGACAGGGTCTTGCTAAGTTGCTGAGGCTGGCCTCAGACTTGCGATCCTCCTATCTCAGCCTTCTGAGTTGCTGGGTTACATGCATAGGCCACAATGCCTGGCTAATTTTGTCTTTTTCTGACTTTTTGAGATGGCTGCATAATCATCAGTGATTAAAAAAAAATTCTGGTGCAATTTTAATTTTAGTTCATTTAAACTGACCAAATTTATGCTTTTTGAACTATATTTTTTCCAGTATTTTGTGTTGTGGTAAGATACTATCTTAACCATTTTTATGTGTACAGTTCAGCGACRTTAAGCACATTCATATTATTGTGCAGCTACCACCATCATCCATTTCTAAAACAAACTCTTTCTGGAGAATTCAAATTGTAAAATGAAACTCTGTACCCATGAAATAATAATTCTCCATTCTCCCTCCCCACAAGCCCCATTGATTTTGACTGTTCTAAATACTTCATAAAAGTGGAATCATATAATATTTGCCTTTTTTGTGATTTACTTATTTCACTTGGTGTAATGTCCCCAGAGTTCATCTATGTTGCAGCATGTGTTGGAATGCCCTTCCTTTGAACAATGATTATCCTTCTAGTGATTGAACAATGTTCCAGTTAATGTGAATACCACATTTTGCTTATCCATTTATCTATTAATGAGCACTTGGGTTACTTCCACATTTTAGTTCTTGTGAATAACACTGCTAAGAACATGAATTAACATGTATCTCTTCAAATTCCTGCTTGCATTCCTTTTGAGCGTATACCAGAAGTGGAATGGCTGAATCATACATGGTCATTCTATTAGTAATTTTTTGATGAACTACCATACTATTTTATATGGCGGCTATACCATTTTTCATTCTGACCAACAATGCACAAGAATTCCAATTTCTCTACATCTTGCCAACACTATTTTCTGTTTTTTTTTTTTTTTTTTTTTTTTGTGGGGAGGGATAGATGCTAAGAATTGAACCAATGACCTCACACTTACTAAACATGAATTCTACCACCAAGCCACACTTCAGCCCTACTATTTTCTGTTTTTTT